ATGAAGTTTTGTGTGAATGTAGGTGAAAAGTTGTAAATGGCTTGAGTTAAGCTCTCATCATAGTGTTTAAAGTCAATGAAGATGAGGGGATAGTTAAAAGAATGATTGGAAGGTGAAGAAACCAAGAAAATGGCAAATTAGATGAAAACCTTCCGGAAGGTTGGCCATAAACCTTTCAGAAGGTTTGCACTTGAACTGCCTATACACTGCCAAAACCTTCCAGAAGGTTTTGTCTACTAGAATAAACCTTCCGGAAGGTTTGAATCAGCCTTCCAGAAGGTTAAGTTTACTGGAATACTGTTTTAACTGTTCTTGCACAAACCTTCCGGAGGGTTTGCATCGACCTTCCAAAAGGTTTTTCCCAGAAATCCCAAACAGCCTACAACTCAAACNGCTATCGATGATGGTGATGAGGATCTTTCAGCATACCTTCCTAGGCAAGCCCATCCCAGGTAGACCTCCGCATCCTTCGGCCGGGCCATCTGCCAATGCTCCCACACCTTCTACGATTGTTAAGGTGGGAGAGTCTGGTGATGACAATGATGATGATGAGGAGGGGAGTGAGTCTGAGAGTGGTGCTAAGGATAAGGATGCATTTGATGATGATGATAGTGATGAGTAGGATGTCTCTGGTGTTTTGTTTCTTTTGATTTTAGGTTGTACAGTTAGGGTTAGTTTTGTCAACCTAGTAGAAGTACCTCTAGGATTTTGGGTCGTTCTATTTTTGAAACCCTAACTCATTGTATTGAAATTTTTTGAATGATTAATGAAAAATACCACATTTGTTTCATTTTATCATTGCCCAAGTCTATTTCTTTAATTGCAATGTGATTTTTGTATTTTGAGTGTTTTGAATATTTACTTGTATGAATGGATTTTGTCATAGTTTTATATCTTGTGGTTTGAAATAAAGTTTGCTAGGGACTAGCAAAACTCAAGTTGGGGAGTGTGATTAGCACAAAATATTGAATATATTGTATGTGGTTATACGCTTCTATACTTATTTTTGTTGTGAATTTGGAAAGAAATGCAGTTAATCTACCTTTTAATGAAGTTTTGTGTGAATGTAGGTGAAAAGTTGTAAATGGCTTGAGTTAAGCTCCCATCATAGTGTTTAAAGTCAATGAAGATGAGGGGATAGTTAAAAGAATGATTGGAAGGTGAAGAAACCAAGAAAAGGGCAAATTAGATGAAAACCTTCCGGAAGGTTGGCCATAAACCTTTCAGAAGGTTTGCACTTGAACTGCCTATACACTGCCAAAACCTTCCGGAAGGTTTTGTCTACTAGAATAAACCTTCCGGAAGGTTTGAATCAGCCTTTCAGAAGGTTAAGTTTACTGGAATACTGTTTTAACTGTTCTTGCACAAACCTTCCGGAGGGTTTGCATCGACCTTCCAGAAGGTTTTTCCCAGAAATCCCAAACAGCCTACAACTCAAATTTTGCCACTTGGGGGTCCCACCTAAGATTCTCCCACTTGTCCCCTAACATCTCTTACACACATACATGCCTCCCTAGCCTGAGGTTGAACTTTGGAGGCCAATGCATTAATAAGGAAAAGAGTGAAGATGGAAGCCAAGGGAGTTGGAGGCTAGGCTTGTCCTAGCCTGTCCAAGCCATCAACTCAGGCTCCTATAGATGGGAAGCCTGTCACACATGCTAGAGGAAATCCATGGACAAAAATGTTAAGTTAGATTGGACATTATTCAGCATTGTAGAGAGAGAAGCTCAAGGAGGAAGACATAATTTTTGAGAGAAAAGTTATATTTTTGCATTTCTTCCACCCATTTCACTTGTAATCTTCTGTAAGAGTCTTCTAAGCTTCATTTATTGCACTTTATGTCATTTATTTCAAGTGTATTGCAATTTTAGTTAAGTATCTTTCAATCTACCATTGTTACATTCAAGTTTTACATTTCACATTTTTTAGTTGGGTATTAAATGCACTTACTTTTGTAGTTTCACTTCAATACAAGTTTAACTTCCATTTCAATACAATGTTTCTTAACACATTGTATGTTCTTGCATTAAATATGAGTAGCTAAGCTTTAAGTTGGCTAATCCAAGGGAGAATTCCTCTTGGGTATGCTAAATCAATTCTTTTCCATTCCTCCTCATTGTATAAGACAATTTGGTTTGACTAGGTTGAGTGTGGACATGATTATGAGTTCTTGATATACCGTAGACTTATCACGGGGTATGTTTGAATCCTCACATCTGTTTAAGTCCCTCACTTCCTATAAATCGATTAAACGTCTAGGCACTCTTGGAAGAATGTCTTGAGTTGATTTGGCATTCCCATTGAAATGACCTCTTTGGATTAGCCAACACTTGTTTCCATTTCATTTTCATCAAGAACACAACTCACCAAGACATATATTCAAAATATTTTTACACTTTTCCTTTTTCACCAAAATCACCTTCAACACAATTCATCTTCCTTCCCTGAGAAGATGACCTTAGAATACCAATTCCAAGTAAAACTTGACACTCAAAAGTCTCTCTGTGCTTGGGAAGTACTTTTGTACACACACACACACATTTCATTACCGCATCCGGTTTCTCATTTCTTGCATGATATCTGAGGGAAAGTGACACTCACCTAACCGTATAAGCCGCATACACATTACTAGAATCATGGTCAAAAATTAGGGACGACGGAAGAAATCAAGTAGGAAGGTGAGTCATATCTGGTGGTCATCTCTTCTACCCTAACATTGGACCAAGAGTCCAAACTGATAGAGGTCCTTAGGCAAAATCGTAGTGCTATAGGGTGGACCATCACTAATTTGAAATGTATAAGTCCTCTTGTCTGCAAGCATGTCATATACCTTGGGGAGGATTTAAAACCCTCTCGTCAGATGCAGCGACCATTAAACCCTCACATGAAGGAGGTTGTACGTGCTGAGGTGTTGAAATTGCTAGATGCGGGAATCATCTTCCCCACCTTAGATAGTAAATGGGTCAGCCCAACCCAAGTAGTACCGAAAAAATCTAGAGTCATGGAAGTCAAAAATGAGAACAATGAGTTAGTGAATACCTGAGTTGTCACGTGATGGCGCATGTGTATTGACTATCGAAAACTCAATCTTGTTAGTAGGGAAGACCACTTCCCTATCTCATTCCTTAATTAAGTTTTAGAGAGGATAGAAGGTCATGCTTTTTATTGTTTCCTAGACAGGTATTTGGGGTACAATCAGATAGAAATAGCACTGGACAACTAGGAGAAGACGACATTCACCTATCCTTTTGGCACTTTTGCCTATAGCAGNCCTTAGAATACCAATTCCAAGTAAAACTTGACACTCAAAAGTCTCTCTGTGCTTGGGGAGTTGCTCTTGACACAAAAGTAAAACTTGACACAAATCAAACGGAATTTGGCTATAGCAAGATGCCGTTTGATTTGTGTAATGCTCTTGCGAACTTTGAACGATGTATGCTTAGCCTTTTCAATGACATGGTAGAAAAATGTTTAGAAGTTTTTTTGGATGACTTCTCTGTCTGTGGTGATTCTTTTGACTTATGCTTGAAAATTTGAAAAATGTTCTTGTCAAATGTGAAGAAACTAACATTGTACTTAATTGGGAAAGGTGCCAATTTATGGTAATACTAGGTATAGTTTTAGGACATATTGTTTCATCTGATGGCATTAAGGTTGACAAGGCAAAAATTGACTTAATTGGCAATTTACGTTCTCCAAAAATGGTAAAAGATGTGAGATCATTTTTAGGGCACGTGGGATTTTATAAGAGATTCATAATGAACTTTAGTGTGAAAAAGGAATGCTTTGGATTATATATAAATGTCATGGGAAAGCATTGGAGTTGAACTATAGGAGTAGAAACAGAAAATCAGGAGAAGACTTCGATTAACTGATATTGTACCGATTCATCAAGGTTGCAGAAATGGCTTGAATCGATTCATTGGGGGGTCTAGAGATTGTGGAACCAATTCATACGCCTTTGTACTGGTATGAACCTCAATAAAAAGCTTCAAATCAGTTCATCCTTACCTTATACCGATTCTTCGGACCGCAAGCACGGTGCACAAGTCCCGAACCTCATCTGGTTGGTGTGGGATCCTTCTTATTCACTCACACACTCAAGAGGGATTGCTCCTAATATCTAGACAATTCATTTGATTGGTTGATGTAGCCTTCCAAATATTCACGAGAAGAACCCGATTGGATGACACCAGTGGAGGAAGCTTCTTCGGCAAAACATCCACCACACACCTTGGCCAATGAGAAGGAAGAAGGAAAATATGCTATATATATACCTTCCTACACACATTGAAGGAGATCTTTTTGGCCTTAGGCTTAATTTTTGTGTTAGTTTTACATTGTGTCAGAGCTTTTGCTGATTTCGGAGAAGACAACTAGTGTATTTTTTATTTCTATTTCAAAGCTTTGTTATTAGTTTTTCTTCTTGTATTTGAATTTAGCATTTGAAGCCAATCTTATTGAAGTTATTCCTTTTAATCTTCTTGTTTATTTTCCTTTGATTTACATGTTGATCATTGCCGATTTCAGTTTGATGGATTTCTAGTTGATTGTTCTTCCAGCATGAGTAATTCTTGGAATTCATATATACATCTAAGTATCTTTAGTTGTAGCTATTATTACCTATATTCAAAGCTACATGTTGTTCAAATCCAATTTTAGTTGAATAATTTTTGTCCAAGTAAATTTGATTATTAGTTTGGATGAGTAATAAATCAAAATCACTAAACATGATTACAGTAAAATAATTTTTTAGGATTAGCCGATTGTTTTTCACTTCATTTTACTACATTAGTTGTTATTCTCACAATTTTCCACAAGTCCAAAGAAATATTATTTTCTTTGCAAACAAATCACCACTTGAATTGCCATTGTTCCCTGAGGACCACCTTGGATTATTCGAGTTACTACAGTACAAACTCTTCCTACTCTTACTAAGCCTGAGAAACATATTGTAAACATTTCAGATAGACGAGCAAAATTATTGGAAACAAATAAAGCAAGCATGTGCCATAAAACTAATGATGTGGATATCATCAGTTTGTAGAAATCATTAATTTGACTGAGATTTTCCCTAAGACTTGAAAATATCATTGTATGTGCCCGACGCAAGATGATGATTAGAGAAAATATATAATCCACATCAAAAAAAACATTTGAGTGTGTTGTAACAATGAATTTCTACAATTGGAGTGTGAGCCAATAGACAATTACAGACGATGCCCGTATTTCAGATTAGCAAGTCTTGCTAAACGATCTAATTGTCACTGCTGGAGCTCTTTGACCTGTTTCCAGCAAGCCTTGTCATCCATTTCTTCTGTGATGTGGTCAGATGAGATACTGGTGTAAGAGATAGAATTTTTTGAGATACTTCTGTAGATGGGAGTTCAGCAGGGAGTGCAGCAGCAGTGCTTGTAAAGGCATTTAGAACAAGGAATGCCAGTATAGGTGAAAGATCCAAAGTTCCTCCAAGGGGTGGGATGATCCCACGGAATATGTTCAAGTATGGATCACACAAAGTGCTGAAAAATAAGCACAGCCCATATTAGAAATGTTCACAAACATTATCGGAATGAAATTTTGGTATACTCAATGATCGGATAAATCACTGCAAAGATGCACACTTCAAGAAGCAGCTAAGCAGTTACATGTTCACAACAAATCAATAGGAAAGAACAGCTAGCCGCCAATTTAATAATTTAATTGTTTTGGACAATGTATTTATTCATATCAATCTCCCCATTTAGCACTGGCTTGGATTTGGAAATCAAAATTTTACTTAGCTTCGAATGTGCAGAAGAAAAAAGAAATATGAAATTACGACCTTTCATATAACAATTTGTAAGCTCATCCCTTTCTTCCATTCGTTCAGTTTCCGGTTTAGATAAGTTTTTTCCCACATACACCCAAATTCATAGGCAGAACAAAAATTTTAGCAATGTGCAACCACTCATTTGGCACTTGAAATGAATCTTTAAAGATTGTAGCCTTAAGAAGTTGTGAGGTCAAGCCAGCTAAGATAGAATAGAGTATATGTACATTAAAATTCACGATGTTTTGATGTTTATGCATGCCAAAGACCACCAAAACAATAAAAAAGGTACACTTATTCCATTTATGTAAATGTTGCACAATTTATTTGCTGGGTCATGCATGCCATTCTAATGGATCATAGAGCAAACTTCACAACGATAACAATCAAAGCAAAACAGCGTCGTGGGGTTTCTTCACAACAAAAACAGTGACAGCCCATACAGGTATTAGATCAGCGTAGTTATGAAGCAGCAGTCCTGCTAATGGTCTGCAGCATTTAGATAATAATGCCCCTAAATCACGGTCCTATCATAGGAGGCCAAAGATAACATTATATATGGTGGTTTATCTTCAGAAAGGATTAAATATGATGTCTCTATTGACAGCCGAGAGCTAAGCCACAGATCACACAGCTACATTGTCAGTCACTTCTATCAAACAAACCTCAAGGATCTAGTGCACTAGAGAAATTTTAAATCTAAAGAGACATACCTAAGAGGGCTAACAATGGCTGGAGGAGTGTTCGGAAACCAAGTTAAAACAAGCCTAACAATGAGCAGCGTATTGTAAATGTTCAAGAAATTCAGAATTCCGTTAGCCACCACGACTCCTGCCACTGAATCTCCTGGTAAAATGGCAGCAAAATTGTGGTTGGATAGATTGTTCAAATTCGTGTACTTCCTGCGAGAAATCTGAAAAAAACAAAGTAAACGTGTCAATTAAGGAAACACCCAAAAAAATACTTACTCATAAAGCATACAAATTAACCCAAAGAAGTACTGTCAAAAGAAAAAAACCAAAGACTAAAAGGAAGGACAAAGTGTCTCTCAATGACTTTCAGAACAACACCCTGACAATTATAATATGATTGTACAATCAAATCCCCTAGATACAGTTACACAAAGCGCTTTCTTTGTATTCCAAAATTCTTATGTACAGGCATGACACACAGCCATCAGGTTAATGACCATTGTAACATTATTATGGTACAGTTAAGAGTGCAGTTGTCTAGTTCACATAACACCTACAATGAATAAACCCATGCATGTGCACATGGAAATCAATAGGATGGCAAGGAATGAAGAAAGAGACAGTCCTTAAAAAAAATCGCAGATAGAATTGAACCAGCCATTTTAAGATTATTCTGTTTTAACTCAAAAATTCAACATCTCATAATGCAGTGACGCAATTGGTCTTAAAAATGGCCCTTTGTCTTCCGGCCTTATCTTCTGGCGTGATCACATATTTATCCCTGGAGCAAAAATGAGACATTTTTCTCCTAAACTTAAGTATTGGCATTCGTTAGAGTTCTCATCTTCCTCTTCACCATGCTAAGCCATCCAACTACTTGTTTGCTTTGTAAAGCAACTGGCCTACTAGAACATAAACAAACATCTAAACTCTTTTCAGGTGTAAATTTATTTGCTAGCTCTAACATCTTATAATGCTATTAAAAAGTTTCATGCTAATTATTTATGTGTGAAAATAAAAGTAGTTCCGTAAATAGCAATTTGCATCATAGGGACGACTTGAACCCAGGCCACCACCAAACTAAGCTATGGTTCAAAGTAAAACATCCAACAAGTTAACTAATAACTAGGCTGCGTTGGGCCATTAAAGACCATTAGGAGTCTCCAAACTAAAGAAATTCGGACACCCAGTTCTAGCAATTGTACTTTCTCCTATTATAAACTTCTTACAATACCAGAACATAAGAAATATATAAGCATGTATGTTAGGACAGAGAGGGAGGAGGGGGGGGTACCTGGCTAATATTGTGGAAATCAGAGGGCAAAGAGAATACTTTCTTGAGAAGTGGGCTTTGGAAAACGAATTCGTGCAACAAGCTGAGACATTTATCAGTGAAAAATACACCGGATTTGTGAATATTGCGTACAATGTGAGATGCTGCTACTTGGAGATTGGGTTTGAAGGGTGGACGGAGTGGTGAGTGAAGAAAGGGAAGGGTAGAGAATGGTAATATTATTGAACAGTGCGATTCCCACTTCTTCGCCGCAGGCTTTTGCCTTTCGTTCGATGAATCGTCCAACGAATGAAGATTCATGGCTGGGGTTTTGTTGTACGTTTACAGGGGACACTGTGCATGTAGGTAGATATAACGAAGGGCGCTGTTTCGATTTCGAAGAAGATGAAGATACGGACTAGGGATTGGTAACGTATGGATTGGGTTGGATATTTTTGCTATTAAAATGAGCCGCCTACTTCCCAGTTTCCACGTGGAAGTGCTTTTATTCAATTTTTGAGTAATACGTACAACACTTGATCTAAGAACATCACTGACTCTGATTTAAATTTAACTTAAAATTTAAATTAAAATAAAAAAATTTAAAAGATTTATTCCAATATTTGATTCAAATTTATACCAAAACAAGGAAGACTCAATTTTTTACTCAAATTAAAAGAGATTTAAATTTTTATTCAAATCTTTAATTGTGAAATTTAATTTTTTTAAAAAAATTTAATTGACATCTTTATTCTTATTTAAATTTGAGTTTGTTCTCGTTTAAATTTCAGTTTGTCTTTTTTTAAATTTGAGTTTCTCCTTCTTTTAAATTTAGATTTCTCCTTCTTTAATTTAAAGTTCAACTGTTATGGCATCTTCAACTCTTACTCAAATTTAAATTTGAGTACAAAAAATCTAAAAAACTTGTTCCAACCCTTGACTTAAACTTATATCAAATTAAGGGAAACTCATTTTTTTACTTAAATTAAGGGAGATTCAAATCTTTAATGGTGAGATTTTACTATCTTTTTAAAATCTAATGGTCATCCTTATTCTTTTTTAAATTTGGGTTTGTCCTCATTTAAATTTGAGTCTCTCCTTCTTTAAATTTGAGTTTATCCATTGGAGTCTTTTATATTAAATCCAGCTTTTTACTCAAATATTAATTTAAATTTAAGTAAAATTTTGAAGAATAATTGGAGATGCTCTTATTGATATGTTTTACTGTTACATCATTTTGTTTAAAAAAATAAATTAATTTTTTAATTCACAATAATATTACTATTAATTTTTTCATAAAAAATATCATTTAAAAGGTTATAAAAATAATAGGAAGAATTACACCTAGATTCCCTGAGATTTATCAATTAATCACTTAGATTCCTTGACATTTAAAATATTACATATAGACCCCCTAAAGTTTATAAGTGCGTAACACTTAAATATCTGCTATCAATGTATTTGTTAGTAAATTATACTTAAACTCCCTTAAATTTATAGATGTGTAATATTTAGATTCTTCGAATTTAAAATGTTATGCTTAGATAAAAAATAATGCAATCAAAGATAAAATATCAAATATTTAAAATTTTATAACCAAAATTTATGTTCTTTTGTGTCATTTATTAAAATAAAATCAAAAATATAAATATAATTTTTTCTTTAAAAAATTATAATTGTATACAATTATATTATCTATTAAACAACCAAATATTTCAATTAAAAATAGAAGATATTAAGTTTATTACAGTTTGACCCCTTATTTATTTTTTTAGTTTCATTCCAATAGATAATATAATTGTATACTAATTATGAATTTTTTAAAAAAATAAATTTATTTTAATAAATGACATAATATAATATAAATTTTGGTTGTAAAATTTAAAATATTTGATATTTTATCTTTAATTTGAGTATTTTTTATCTAAGTATAACATTTTAAAGTTGAAGAGTCTAAATATATCTATTAAACGACCAAACTATCACAATTAAAGATAGAAGATATTGTGTTCATTATAGTTTGACCACTTATTTATTTTTTTAGTTTTTTCCCAATAGATAATATAATTGTATACAAATTATAATTTTTTTTTTAAAATGATATTTATATTTTTGATTTTATATCAATGAGTGACATAATTGGATAATTTTTTATCTAAGTATAATATTTTAAACTTGAGAAGTCTAAATATTACACACATACAAACTTTAGGGGTCTAAATATACTTTACTAATAGATTTACTAACGGACATTGATGATAGAGGTCTAAGTATTATGTGTGTACAAACCTTAAGTGGTTTGTGAATAATATTTCAAATATCAAGGGTTTAAGTGATTAAGTGACGAACTTCAAGGGGTTTGAATGTAATTCTCCAAAAATAATAATTCTATTTATACCAAAAAAAAAAACATCATACCTTGAATTAATGGTTATGGACTTGGTTTGAGAAAGCAAACAACAAGGCTCTCCGATTGCAAAATGAATAAACGCTAGAGTTTGGAGGTTGATCAGTTGGAGGTATTTTGATACTTAAATTAGTAAGGACTCTAGAAACAAGTAAAACACATTTTGCAGAAAAAAAAGGTGCATACCTTAGACTTAAGTTTTACTTGATATTTGAAGGGGCTAGCCCTTATTATTACACGTGTTATGGTAATTAATGAGCTCATGTAAGGATGATAAGACATGGCAAGTGACGAAGACATCAGCTGTTCGGTGAAAAAGTCTTAGCTGAACTAACCAATGTGTTCGGTGAAGTAATATTGGAGCTTGGTTTGTACCCAACCAAGATCATTAATATGTGTCGGCAAGGCAACGAAATAGCTCGACTTGTACCAAACTGAGTTGATCAATCAGCTCGGCAAACATCGAAAGTGTTCGGCCCTTATTATGTCCAAGCTGTTTAAAACGATAAATGGAAAGATAAAGATTCGCTTATAACTTAGACAATTGGATAAACGAATCAATGAAATTGTAGATATCAGGAGGAATTGTTGGAGAAATATCAACAACTTCCCAAACTGAATCACTGAATTGAAGGAAGGTGTGTCACCTTGAACCAAATATCACGGAAACCCTAATGGGGTAATGATCTATAAAAATCCAAAAGAACTAAGGTGAAAGGTACACTGAACTCTCCCGGTCTTCTTGAAATTATCTCAGTTCCATTACTGACTTAAGTATCAGTGTGCCTTCAATCGAAGCACTTCAATCTTGGGCAGTTTGTTCGTTTTGCAGGAAGCAAAGACTGGGAGATCAAGTTCAGAAATATCCATTTCCAGAAATATCAAATTCAAATCTTTAGTGAGAGGTATCCTTAATTTTTACCCTTTACATTTTGGCGTCGTTTGTGGGAAAATTTTCATCATTCGAAACGAAAAGCTACGATGTCAAAACTCTGAAGTGCCATTGGATCACCTGTAGGCAGATTTGCTATAGGAAATTATGATCCTGTACCACTTCCATCTGATAGCAACGATGGGTTTCATATTAACAAAAGCCTATCTGGGGCCCCATGAGGATAACAAGGTATCCTTAGCAAGTAAAAAATGAACCACGAAGCAAAACCATCGTGGATAAGATCGTGCTGAATCCCTCTGTGCTGAGGGGAAAAACCACTCTTTGGAAAAGTTGGTTGAATCCCTGCAAAACCGACTTGATGCTAATGACAAGTTGTTCAAGAAATCCTATGTCAGGGAGAAGGACCTGATAAGGTAAAATGAAGAATTGAAAGCCAGGCTAGAAAAGATCACCAAGAAAGATAAGTGAGGGAGAAACAGCCAACGAGAAAGTCCCAAAAAGAAGCACATCAGAACTAGGAATCCTAATGACGATAAGTACCAGCAGAAGAAACCTAGGCTCTAGGAGGAGGATGCCTGGAAGCAGTACATCACCGAGGAACTCAACAACCGCCTTAGACAACCAAAGTATAGGTCGGCTAGGGACCTAGCCAAAAGAGCAACAGGAGAGTATGGAAACGGCTCAGAGTCGTCAACTTTTACTACATAGCTCGAAAGTGGGCGAATCCCGAGCAAGTTCGTCATCCCAAATTTTAAACTTTACGATGAAAAAACTGACTCAGCCTCACATATTAGACATTATAGACAGATGATGACAATCCATCCAAGCAATGAGCCACTACTTTGCACCATCTTCCCTAGCAGTTTAAGAGAGTCGGCCATGAAATGGTTTGACAGTTTGTCGAAGAGATCGATTGATGGATAGTCGTAGTTGGTCGAGTAGTTCACAACACGGTTCATTACAAGTTATAAGCAACTGAAGGATGTTGGAGCCCTTCTGACTTTGAAGAAGAAGCATAATGAGACCTTGCGAGAGTACGTTCATCGCTATTGGGAGATAATGAATGAGGTCGAGGGATATAACCCCAAAATCGTAATGGCGTCCTTCAAAATTGGATTGCCAAAGAAAATCCTCTGTACCAATCACTCACTAGAAGACCTGCCACCGACCTGGAAGAGTTGATGGCAAGAATTGGAAAGTATGCCAAAGTCGACGACGACTTATGCCGAGATGTAGTTAGAGACAATCATGGCAGGAGACAGTTCAGTCGAGACAAGCAGACCGAGCCGAGCCGAGCCGTGAGGGCGAAAGGAAGAATGAGAAGGAGGGTTATCCCTAGAAGTCTCCTTTTCTTGGGGTAAATACGCAGTTCAAGGAGCCAATATACAAGATCCTGAATGAAATCAAGGCACAACCATTCTTCAAATGGCTTAACAAGCTTACAGGAGATCCTTCGAATAGGAATCCAAACTTCAAATGTTCATATCATCGAGATATTGGGCACATGACAAAAAATTGAAAATCCTTAAAACAGCATTTGAAAGAACTGGTGCAAGCAGGTCATCTCATCAAGTTCATCGAGGATGGGGAAAGAACCAATGGTGGGAGAACTGATCCTAAAGGGGACCACAGCACTCCAGTTGGAGTGATTTATGTAATCCAAGCTGCGAAAAATCCACAGATGTCTACGAACAACTTGGCAAGGACATACATTCAAAAAGCTACAAAGGAAAGGGAAGTTTATGAGTTGCGGTTAACCCCCAAGGTCAGGAATAAAAGAATCCAACCGGAGTCAGCCGAGGCAATTTGCTTCACCGAACAGGATCTGGTCGGCGTTTACTAGCCACACAATGACGCACTAGTCGTCACACTTCGAATTGCAAACTATGATGTGAGAAGGGCTTTGATTGATCCCAGAAGTTCGTCAGAGATCATGTACATGGATCTCTTCAAGAAGCTTGGTCTTAAAAAAGAAGGTCTGAAGCCTTCAAACACTCCACTTATAGGCGTTGGTGGAAAGACAGTTCTTCCTAGGGGAAAGATCACACTGCCTGTGAAGACTAGACTAGTTTGTGTCATGATCGAGTTCATGATAGTTGATACGGCTTCAGCTTATAACGCGATAATGGGTCGGTCGTGGCTACATGAGATGAAGACGGTACC